TCCTTCACTTGTTGTTCTGGTCGTAAGTGTACAGCAGGAAGATCACCATTTTTCTATGTATAACTCTGGGGGAAACATTTCTCCTCTGCTACCCTCTCTGTCTCTCTCTCTCTCTCTCTCTCTCTCTCTCTCTCTCTCTCTCTCTCTCTCTCTCTGTGTGTCTGTCCGGCGCGTGCGCACGGGCAAGATTCATTCAATTTTGCTCTTCTATCAACGGAATCGATGCAAGTACCGAGAGGCCAGCCCGGGGATTGGACACTCACCTCTTCGCTGATCCGGATCTCACCCAATCTTTCTCTGTCTCTCTCTGTCTCTCCCTCTCTTTTTCTCTCTCTCTCTCTGTCTGCTCTTCTCTCTCTCTCTCTCTCTCTCTCTCTCTCTCTCTCTCTCTCACACACACACACACACACACACACACACACACACAGACTGTACGTAGACTTGGTCGTTCGCGGGTACGCCCGTCGAAAATTTTATCTGCGTGTCTCTCTCTCTCCCTCTCTTGCGTACGCGGCCGCGGCCTGCCACGTGGCGGGCTATTTTCCTATCGTTTTTTTCATCGGAGATCGCTATGGGGGGATCTTTGTCAGCGGGAGGAGCGGGCTCTCTCTCTCTCTCTCTCTCTCTCTCTCTCTCTCTCTTCGGCGAACTTTTCGGGGGTTGGGCCTTGAACAACCCCCCCAAAAAAAAGGAAAAAATATGTGTATATACAGGGTAACCGGCGTTCGGGACGGGCCGAACGCCCGAACGTTCGGGCCCCCCTATAGACACGTTCGGCCGTTCGATTTCCTGAAGTGTTGGCTGAACCGCGCGGAGTTCCTGAGCATCCAGTCAAGCACAAAATCGAGATAATAGAAGTGTTGGTTGAACCGCCCGGAGTTCCCGAGCGTCCAGTCAAGCACAAAATCGAGATAATAGAAGGGAGTGTTCCTCCAAAGGGCTGCGTCTACCGCATAGGACAGGGCGAGTTGGAGGAGCTGCGGAGACAGATTGATGATATGATTGACCGTGGATGGATTAGGCCTAGCGAGTCTGAATTTGGCGCACCTGTCTTGTTTGTGCCAAAGAAAGGAGGCAAACTCCGGATGTGCATTGATTATCGTGGCTTGAATCGAATCACAAGGAAGAATGCCTACCCTTTGCCTCGTATAGATGATCTGTTAGATGCGGCCGGTGGTTGCAAAGTCTTCTCCAAGATCGACCTCAAGTCTGGCTACCACCAGATTGAAGTTGATCTGAGTGACCAGCACAAGACTGCATTCAAGACACGCGATGGGCTGTACGAGTTATGCCCTTCGGTCTTACGAATGCACCGGCCACCTTTCAGTGCCTCATGGACAAGGTATTCCGCCACCAACTTAACAGGTTTGTGGTTGTGTATCTTGATGACATTCTGATTTTCAGCAAGTCCATGGAGGAGCACGTCAAGCATCTTGAGGAGGTCCTGCAAGTCCTCAAAGATGCTCAATTGCACCTCAACTTGGAGAAATCTGAGTTTGGCAGGGATCATCTATCTTGGACACCGGTTGTCTGCGAGCGGCCTTGAGCCGGAAGCAACCAAAGTTGAGGTCATCCGCAACTGGCCTCAACCGGCAAATGTATGCGAGCTGCGTTTCTTTCTTGGTTTGGCTTCTTACTGCCGAAAGTTTGTGCCTAAGTTCTCTGTCATTGCTCATCCACTCTCACGCCTGACTAGTAAGAATGTTGACTATGCGTGGTGTGAAAAGTGTGAGACTGCGTTCCAAGTCTTGAAAGAGGCTTTGGTGAGTCATCCTGTGCTCCACATTGCGGATCCCAACCTCACGTTTGTAGTCACTACGGACGAGCCAGTTTGGGATTGGTGCAGTGCTGCAACAAGATGATGGCGATGGCCTGCGACCGCTCGAATATTACAGCAAACGCATGCCCAGCCACAAGGTAGCTACTTCCACGTATATGCGAGAGCTTTACGCCCTGCGCGAAGCCCTCGCACATTGGAAGCACTACCTCTTGGGTCGCCACTTCAAGGTCTWYTCTGATCATCAGACCCTGCAGTGGATTCAGACACAATCYGAACTCTCTCCTACGTTGACCCGCTGGCTGCATGAYATTGATGTTTACAGKTTTGAGTTGAAGCATAAGAAAGRTTRYTATAATCGTGTTGYTGATGCTCTATCGCGCYATCCTGAGTATTTGACTTGCCTGGTGGATTCGTACGACCTCCGCAGGAAACTGARGGAGGATCTGATCGAACACACCGCCAAGGATCCGGACCTTAGTCCCATCCTTGAGCAGCTCAAGGCTGACCCCAACAGCCAGCCTGATTTTCATGAATGCGATGGTCTTGTATTTCGCCGGTACGGGAAATTTGATCGTTTGTGTGTTCCTAACCATGCGCCTCTCCGGACTCATTTCCTGGATTTGGCACATGGTCGGAGTGGTCATTTCGGCTTTGAGAAGACTTATGGGAGTCTTCTCCAGCAGTTCGATTGGCCGGGGATGAAGGGATCTGCTCAGAAATTTATTGTTGAGTGTCAAGTCTGTCAGAGAATCAAGGTCCACAGGCATAAGCCTTATGGCCTGCTGAGACTTCTCCCAATCCCTGATGGCCCCGGGGAATCGGTCTCCATCGATTTCACGGACATGGGGAAGGTGAGTACGGCAGGGAATTCACAAGTCATGGTCATTGTGGATCTTTTTTTTTTTTTTTTTTTGAGAGGGAAGGTGAGATCTCATAATAATCTCATAAAGTACAGACAAATAGACATGGCCATGGTCATTGTGGATCGCTTCTCTAAATTTCTGAATCTGATTCCTCTTCCTCCTCATGCACCGACTGAACTGGTAATCGAAGAGTTTCACCAGCAGTACATTCTGCAGTATGGGCCCCCAAAAAGTCTTGTGAGTGATCGGGACACCAGATTCATCAGCAAGGATTGGAAGGACTTCACTGCCCAGATCTATGACATCAAATTGAACATGACTTCTGGTCGACACCCCGAAGCCAATGGATTGGCTGAGGAAATCAACCAGACCGTCACCCAGCTGCTGCGCGTATTGATTGTGCCAGATCAGAACACATGGGATAAGGACTTGCACAAAGTAAAGGGACTGTACAACAACTCCGTCCATTCTGCAACCGGTGTGACACCAAACCAGTTGCAGTCTGGATGGCCAATGCGCAATCCCCTCTCCTACCTGTTCCCAGAACGGTCACCTGGTCTGATGCCCGGCATGCCTGGCTACAATGCCAAGTACGCACGCTTGCTCAAAGCTGTTACTGCAGCCATGAACAAGCGCCAGCATGCCATGATCAAACATGCTAACAAGCTGCGCAGGGAAGAAAAGTTCAAAGTTGGGGATTATGTTTGGGTCAAAATGTCTGAGTTTTCTGATGAAGAGGGCGTGTCACGAAAGCTTCTTCCACTGTACTACGGCCCTTGGCAGATCCTGAAGGTGATTGGGGATGATTTCGGTCCTTCGTATGTGATTGGGGTGCCTCCTCATCTGCGCACGTATCCAGTCTTCCATGCCTCCAAATTGTTCCCACACATTAATGATGAGACCTTTCCCTTCCGAGACCCTATGATACCTCGCCCTATTGACGGCGGCCATGAGATTGACAAAATCGTTTCTCACGAAGGGAGAGGGAGGAACAGAGTACAAGGTTCACTTCCTCTACCATCCGTTGAACGAATTCTTCTGGATCGATCGGAAAGAGCTGCTGAAGAGTGCTCCACGTGTTGTGAACGCATATGAACGACAGATTGTTGATAGACAGACCGCTAAGTTTGCTGCAAAACTCACTCCGTTCGGTCTCACTAACACTCTCTTTTTGATCTATGCCTACGATGCCTTTTGTACCGACTCTGACTGAGTTACTCGCTTGAAGGGACCTCGCTCTCGAGAGGGGAGTAATGTCATGACCCGCCAAAAACACAGACTGGGAACACTGCTGATTTCTGGGATTTGCCAATGGAATGAATGCCTTGCTGTGATTCCCGCATTCTGCTGTGGTCCCAAGTCTGTGTGTATGCGTGCCTGCTGGTTTGCATGCCCGTCTGAGTGCTTGCCGGTTGCGTGTGTGTGCGTGCCTGCTGGTTTGCATGCCTATCTGAGTGCTTGCTGGTTGGGTATGTGTGTGTGACCCGCAAGGGTACTTGTTGGTTGCAAGGCCCACCGGGCCGGTACTTACCTGTGGCCGTGACTTTGAAGGGTTGCAGGGGGGTAAACACGCCGGTAGCGGGGAGTAGGCCCACGGCACTTAGAGCAGCTGGGGAAAAACACTCAAGTAGCAAGTAGGCCGAGCAGAAGAAGACAAAAAAGTTGGCATTTTTAGAGGCCCAGTAGCGGTAGGTTAGAGGTAGGCCGGTACCAGTCCAAGTAGCCCGGGTCTAGGGCCTGTGCGGACAATAACAGAGCCTGCAATGATGTTTCCCTCCAAAAAGAGAGGAGGTACCGGTTGCTGGGAGGCCGCTTGGCCTAGGAAGTCACCGCCCAGGAGGCCGGTAGGCTGCTATATCTTCAGGAAGAGCGGAGAGCTCTTCCTCATTTGCGGTGTGCAAGGATTGGCGACATGCTGCTGGAGCGCAGCACTGGACCAGTGCAGCGCTGCTTGGAGGTGAAGGGCAGCTGGAGCTCAGCCTAGCTATGGCGAGCAGTCCAGCTTGAGGAGGAGGAAGAAGGGGGCATGGTAGGAGAGTGGCGGGGCACTTACCTGGCTATGGAAGGCACCATCTTCATCACCTTGTTGGGCGCTGCATCTGGAAGGCCCCAGTTGGGGTAGTGCGGCACCAGGGAAGCTCGAGGCAGAGTCAGGCATAGCGGACCAAGTCAGCAGCGGCATAGCTGCTTTGAGTGGCCCTTTGGGCATCAGCGCAGCACCATAGCTGCTTGGGTTGTCCTTTGGACATCAGCGCAGCACCCTAGCTGCTTGGAGTAGTCCGCCATAGCCTATGCATGAGAGAGGAGGCTGAAGGAGAGAAGCCATAGCTATGGTGGACTGGTTGTTGTTGTTGTTGTTGTTGTTGTTGTTGTTGTTGTTGTTGTTGAGTTGATTCAGCAGTAAGGGGGAACTTCGGACATTGATTCTGGTTCATCCATTCATTGTTATTATTGTTATTGAGAGAAGATTAAGATTGGTGAAGAGAAGGAGGAAGGAGGAAGGTGGAGAGAGAAGGGGGAATTGTCATTGGTCTTCTTCTTCTTCTTCTTCTTCTTCTTCTTCTTCTTCTTCTTCTCCTCCTCCTTCTCCTCCTTCTCCTTCTTCTTCTTCTTCACCTCCTCTCCTCTGGTCTTTATCTCTTTGCAAGTGCTTTCATTTCTTTCGCAATTGGGTGGCATTGTCTTTCGTTGAGAATTTGCAGTTGGGAAATGACCAGGATCGTAACACGAATAAAAAGTAAATAACGGAAAACAAAAAATAATAATAGAAACAAAAAATTTGAAGAGAGAATTATAATCAGTGTGCGGGCGGGCACTTTTAAACACCTCCATCTTTGAAGATTTTTTATATTTTTTTGGATCAGTGAAATTCCCTGAAAATTCATAAGTGTGTATCTCACATGATACAAAACTCATTAAAAAAACATAAAAAAAAAAAAAAAAATGGTTAGGCCCCGAAACAAAGTGAAAACAAAAAGAGAAACGAGAAAAAAAACAAAATAGTGAGTGGGTGAGCACGTTTTGACACCGCCATCTTTGGCGATTTTTCATTTTTTTTTGGCTTAGCAAAATTATCTCAAAATTTAGAGGCATGTACCTCACATCATAGAGAACTCACAAAAAAAAATTCAAGAAAAAATAATAGTTTTTAGGCCCCGAAATAATTTTTGGCGGGGGCCGAACCTCTTCAGGTTCGGAGGGGTTCGCCCCCCGAACGTGACCCCAAACGCCCGAACGTACGGAGGTTGGCCCGGGGGCCTCCGTACGTACGGGCTGGTAACCCTGTGTATATATATATTTTTTTCCGGACCAGACGTCCGCCCGGACATCCAGGCGCGGACAGTCTGGACTGGGCTTGGGACGCCGGGATCGTAATCATGCATCGTTTTCTTGTTGATATTTTATTTGGTGTTTCATAAAAAATAAATTTGTGTCCACCCTCTGCCAAAAGTTCTCTGTATTCGACTTTTTGCGTAATACACCATCTCCAGATGCTTTTGGAGAATCTAAAAGATGACAAAATGTTCAGTTTCTTTTTATCTTCTACATTTTAAGACACAGGTGATCCAGCTGGACTTCAAATCATTTTTATCTTGTGCACTTTGAGACACAGGTCCAGGTGCATGTCCAACCCAGGTGTCCAGCTCTGGGCCCAGAGAGCCCATGGCATGCAGGATGCACGGCCCTGGTCCAACTACTTAGCTTTTCAACCGTTTTTGGTGTCTTCTTAACTATCCTTTGTGACTTTTGGACTTTTTTACCGCAGGTACTCTGCGAGGAAGTGACCGAGAGTCGAGATCAAGGTCGTATTTCAATTCGGATGGTGAACGGACAACAACACGGCCATGGAATCCATCGCCAGAGGGTGCCAATTTTGCACAGGGATATGTGGCACCCACGACCTTGCCTATGTCCCGCGTCCAGTCCCGGAGAACCCTTTCGAAGGAGGACCTGTCAGATGTGCTGGGCCGGCCTGCTGTTACACCAGATAGGGATATGGATCCCTACTCACACAGTGTCAACCACCTCGGTAGCCAAGTTTTGAAACCACAGTAGACCTTTTTTAACATTTTTTTATTTACTTTATTGTTGATATGTCAGGGGTTGGACAGGTTTAATGCAGACAGAAGAGGGTACATGTAGGCACCAGAATCCTCAAATTGTTCTGAAGGTGGCAAGGAAGGGAGGAAGTGCCGCCTTGCAAGCAGTTTGTTCAGTGACAAAAGTTACCTGTAAAGACGAAGGAGGAAGAGAGGACCGAGATAGAGAGACAGAAGAGGGGAGAGGGGAGGGAGGGTGCAAGTGAGGAAACGAGGAAGCGATGAGGGC